GGATCACGGTGGAGATGACACCACGAGCCTCTAAAGGAGAAAATTGCATGATGTATCGCCACTCGGGAGCACCCGCCAGAGAGCTGTTTAGAGTGAGATTACAGTCTCAGAGGAGATTCTCATGCCTCTCGGTCACAGGGTTACTATGATGATGCAGTTGCAGCTCATATGCGGGAGGTAGGAGGGATTTAAATGATGGCCAGGAAGAAAAGCTGGATCAAACCTCCACAAACCCTGTTCAGATTAACCCAGATTCCCGAGTACCAGGCTTTGAGGGATGTGAAATCAGCCAAATTGATTCTTTTCTCTTAAAGAGAAGAAAAGTGAGAGGGAAAGGATGAAGTTTATACTTTGGTCAAGGGTTTACAAGCAGCATGTTAGACTGAAGGGAAACGAAGCCGCCGAAAATCAGAGTTTGTGCAGTCCAAAGGTCTTGGACCTAATCATGCCAATTCCATATTAGCCCAGCTCTACGGATTTCTATGCATTTGCTGCTGACTTACAGAGACGCAAGGGAGACAAAATCAGACTCAGTGCTGCAGTCTTTCCCTCTTCATCCTCTTCATATTCAAGGCCTTCTTTTTTTTTCCTCTCGTAAATTCCCATTATTAACACAGGGGAAAGAAAAAAAAAAAAAAAAAAGAAGTCCCTGGGATCCCTGGCACATCCTTGGAGTGGCTGCAGCCTCACAGTGGATGACTAGACAACCACCACTGTGCCACATAATGAGGAACACACACGCTGCACCGGGAGATACTAATGAGGGAGCTACAGCACCCTTAGCCCTCTCCAGTAAATCCGTGTCTGCAAGCCATGTTTTATTTATCAGGCTTATTATGGCAGCGCTAAGGAGCCATTTGAAAAGGGCCACTGTTGTCCTGGGCGCTGCACACCACAGTGTCTGCTCCTGCCAGCTTCCAGGGGAAACAGATGAGGCTGGCAAAAGGTAGGGGAGAGGGATGCTATGCAAACGCCAGGCGAATGCCACCGTGGCAGCGTGTATCCCATCGTCTCCTTTACGGGGGTGTTTCCAGCCTGCTTTGACCTCCTGGTGCTAACTGAGCACCGCCTGGGAGGGACCCCCGGCCCTGAAAACCTACAGCGACTGACGAACAGATCGCAGCTGAACTTGCGATGCTTTTTTCCAGGAGCGTTTCTGAGGCAGCGAGGACTTGGCGGGCCCGGAGAGACCCAGCTGCGACCTGCAGAGCCAGGCGACTCAGAAGGGCTTCCCGGGAGCCGCCCGAGACGGCCGTGCCCCCGCCCGGCACTGCTCCCGGCAGCGCTCCCGCCGGACCCCCGTGCTTTTCACCAGGCACACGAAGCGCTGCTCCTCCGCACCGAGATGCTCCGCCACCGAGCCCTCGTTGTGCCGCTTCTGGCAGCCTGTGGTCTCGCTCGGATTTGCATGCGTGCCAGAGGGAGAGGGGGATTTACGACCGCCGTTCCCTTCTCCAAACGTCCTCTTCCTGACCCCTCCGCATGCCTTCCCAGAGGTTTCCGTCCGCTCCGGAGAATCATTCCGCTCGCGGAGGACGAGCAGAGACGGGAGTAAAAGGAGGCTAAGTATAAGATAGAAGAGAGATGAGTAAACCTTTGCAAAAGTTGCACCGCAGGTCTCAGCAGGACTCAGACAAATTGGTCCGCATTCCTTTAACATATTAGATTTCTACTTACCCTGTTCATTAGCACATTAAGCTACAAGGGTGGATTGTACAAAACTCACGGAGAGGCATCAATTAAGACGATAAATTTACATACATTCCTTCTGGATGAGAAATGACGGGTTTCCTCGGTTCAGAGTCTAGTACAACCGGACTCGGTTTCAGAAAGAGAAAGGAGGAGAGAGAAGTGTTAAATGCATGCATCTGTACTGCCACCCAAAACGATGGAAGCAGTTCACAAGTTTGAGCAAAAATGTATGTCAAATAGGAATAGAAGGAAACAACTCATAGTTTCCAAGGCTGAACTCTAATCTGCCATGTCACATCGACAACAAATTCCGAGAGGAAGTGAAATTCCCCAGAGATGTTGCTCTTACAAGGCCGGCCCAAATGGTGTTCCCAGGCTGCAGAACACAACACTAAATATTTGCACATATTTATCACTTTTCGCCCACACAAGATCTCATCTTATTTTGCAAACACTGCAGTGGAACAACTTCCTAACCGTCAAAGTGTAGCCATCGCTGGTCTGCAACGTGCCAGTGGCACCTATTTTGTGCCAGCATGCGTCCTGGGAAAACTGTTAACAAAGGCCGTTTGTTACCCTGTTGCTACTGAAGAGAGAATTCAGATAGGCCTTGCAAACGGTATATGAAACCCCTCACATGTTGACAGTATCATCTGTCTTTTCTTGAAAAATACTGCGCAGCTGCTAATGTCGCTGGAGGAGACAGGCCATCAGCAGCATTGTTCCTACAGCTAGCCTTTGTGGCACTAACTTTAGTGCTGCTGTGGCTAAATACTGATGTACAGCTAAGTGAACTAGTTAATACGAGTAATAGCTCAATGACTGTAATCGTTAAATAGTAATAGCGATAGTTCATCCCTGTTCTTCTTCAGGAGTTGGCCACAGAAAGCAAGCACCCATCCAAAAAGGGCTGGCCACCACCAGCTCTCATTCAGTGCAGGGAAAATTAAAGGTTTTTAGCTAATATAGTAACTTATATGTGACTCCTTCTTCCCTGACAAGCGGTACCAAATCTATCCAAGTGGAAAGCTGTTTTCACCCCCACATTTCTGGGCTTGTGCATCAGGAGCGCTCCATCCAGTTGAGGTGCTGGGTAAAGACTGCCGCTGCACGTTGCCATTTTGGTTTCCTTACCCACGACCCTGTGCTGGGCGAAGGCAAGTGTTTGCACCGCCTTGGGCTGCCAGATAGCAAATGTGCAAGCTTCCTCATTGCTCAGGACACGAGATAAGGGGTTTCCAGCTGGTTCCCCTTCCAGGCGCTGCATGGCCACGATAACTAGATCATTCTGAAGGGGAAGTATTTTAAACAAATGCTGCTTGCATATAAAAGCTTGTGCCACAAATAGGATCCTTGTTTCTTAACGGGAGGGGAAAAAGAAAAGTGCCATTTCTTCTTCTCTCGTGTACACAGCCACCGCAATTACATACCACTGGAGTTCGAAATACGTGCTCTTTTATTTCGTTCTAACCAAAGAGCAATCAAACCTAGTCGGGCTTGTGTTAATGATATACATTATATGTACCAGAGACATTTACACTGCATATCAAAATCGATCAGAACATAAGGAAGTTTAAAAAAAAAAAAAAAAAAAAAAAAAGCTGATTGCCTTATGCTGTGAAGTTTGACTGGAGTGTGATCTATCTCAGCCTAATGGGTTAGACACACGCCTGCACAGGCTACAGCCAGCGCCGCATTAGCACTGCTCTAAAATGAGATAACATTTACAAAGGCAGAAGCAGACTGCGTGGCTACACATTTTGGGAAACGAAGGGGGCAGGTGGGGGCCAGAGTAATTTTATGGTCAGGTCCCAATGTGTACAGTGTCATCACACAGACGGAAGACGCAGCGCTTCCTCGCTTGGTGCTTTCGCTACAACCACAGACTTCCCCTGCTGCAGCTTCCAGCTGCATTACTTCCGTCAACTTTTTCTCCTCCCCAGCCAGTGTGTTCTGACCACCGGTAAAGCCTCCAGTTTTCATTTGCTCAGACGTTTAGTTTTTGTTGGACGGGAAAGCTGGACAATAAACCACTTTCGTTCCTAAAGACTCATCCCTCTTTCCAATGTAATCAACCTTCAGCACATGCTGTACGTCAATTAAAGGCGGCAAAACTGCTAATGGTGTATTAGTAACACCCTGTTTAGGATGAAAGTGTATGTTGTGGGCAATTTTCTGGCCTGGTGGGATTATATTTATATATATACATTTTTTTTTTCCCCGCCCCGCCCCCCCCCCGTATTGAATTGTCTGCTAACCGATCGTAATTTTAGATCAAACCGTGCCTCTTGCGCGTCCACGAGTACTCGCCGCGCCTGCGCCCCGCGCCGAGGGCACCCGGCTGCGCTCTCACCCCCCGCAGCCCGGCCCCCGCCACCCGGGGCGCCGGGCACGGGCCTCCTCCCCGCGGGGGCAGCCGGGGGCTGAGGGGCCGCGAGGGGAGGGGTCGCCGGGGCGGGGGGCACGGCAGGGACGAGCCGCCGGTGCCGGTGCCGCTCCCCGGCGCGGCGCAGCCCCCGCGGCGGGAGGGGCGGCAGCGGCGGGGCCCCCGCCTCTGGCGGTTGGTTGATCCGTTGGCACGGCAACGCGCTCAACATTTCCCCCCCCCCCCCCCCCCCCCGCCGCCGCCGTTCTGCCCCACGTGACCCACGGCGGCCCTTCCAAGCCAACTCGCCTGTTGCCAGGGCCGCGCGAGCAGGCGGCAGGGGGGTGGAGGGGGGTAGCGCGGGAGGGGGCTGCCGCTTCCCATTGGCTGCTGGCGCGAGGCCCGCTGATTGGCAGGGGGGCGGCGGAGCCGGGAGGCCGGCCGGCGCGCCGATTGGCTGTGCCCGGAGGTGAGGCTGTGGGGTGACGGCGGGCCGCTGCCAGGCAGCCCTGGCCGCCAGACAAAGGCCGGCCGAGAAGGGACGCGCCCGCTTCCCCGCTGCCCCCCCCCCCCCCCCCGCCCCGGGCTGGCACGGCGAGGCGGGGGGAACCGCGGCTCCCCGGCGGGCAGCTGGCAGGCGGCGACTCGGGCCCGGCCGAGTGCCGGCGGGCCGCGCAGCCTCGGCGCCCTCCCCGCCGGCCCGCTCTAATTGCCGCTGGGGCACGCGGAGCAGGAAGCAGGGGGGGGGGCGGGCGGTGCGGCAGTCACGCTCGCCGCGCGGCCGGCAGCCAATGGGCGGCTGGGGCGAACGCGGAGAGCACGCGGGGCCCGCGTGGCCCCGCCGCCTGCCCTGTCAATCACTCCCTCGCGCCCCGCCCCTCCCCTCCGCTCCCGCCCGGGGGATTTGGGGAGAGGGTGGGTGGGTTGGGGGAGCACCGCGCGGTCACGGCGCCGTGCCCCACGCTGCCGATCCCCACTCCCGCTCACCGGGGCGGCGGGTCGGACATTACCGGCGCCCGGCAGGGCTGGGGGGGGGGGGGGGGTGTTGTGCAGCCGCCCGCCCCTTCTCAGGGTGTGGGTGCGGGGCGGATGGGACCCCGGCTCCCCCCGCGGTTTCCACCGGTCCCGAGCGGCCGGTCCCCAGTGGGGGAGCGGGATGCCCGCGGGGCCCGGCCGCCGCGCTCCCCTCCCGCCGCGGTGCCCTCCCTTCCCCCCCCCCCCCCCCCCCCCTCCGGTGCGGGGCGAGAGGCGGAGCCGTCGCATCGCGGCCGCCGCCCGCCGCCTTTATCAGGCGTGCCGGCGCGGGGGGTGGCACTGGGGAACACCTTGTTTTAAGATACGGGCTATAAATACGGCGGCGGGGATGGGAGCGCAGCCACGGGCGGCGGCGGCGGGCTGACTGGCGGCGAGTGGAGACCACGGTGGGTGCTCTCCCCCGCGGCGGCTCGGTGCCGCTGGAGTAATTTACCTGCGTGGTGTGGGGCTGCCTGCCCCACGCCACGCGAGGCTCGCGGGGGTGGGGGGGGAAGGAGTTGCGGGGTTTGTTGGTTTGGGTGTTCAGTTGCTTTTTGCGCGGGGGGGGGGGAGCGGCAGCAGCCTGCCCCGGCGGCTGCACGGGTGGGGGGGCGAGGGGGAAGGGCGGGGAGGGGAAGCCTGAAAAAGGAGACGGGTCGGAGGATAAAGGCGGCGGGAGGGCGGGCTGGGGGGAGGGAGAGCAGCCCCTAACCCCGTCGCCCACCGCCTCCCAGCAGGACTCTCCTCGCAGCGGAGGAGGAGGAAGGGAGGAAGGAGGTCGCCGCCGGCGCAGCCCCGCGGTTCGAGCCGCCCCGGCTGATCCCGCCCGCTCGCCGGCATGATGCAGATCTGCGACTCGTACAGCCAGAAGTACTCCCTCTTCAACGCCATGAACCGCTTCATCGGCGCCGTCAACAACATGGACCAGACGGTGATGGTGCCCAGCCTGCTGCGCGACGTGCCGCTGCTGCTGGAGGAGCTGGACGCGGCGGGGGGCGTCTGCCCGCCCCGGGACGCCGCCCTGCCGCCCGGCGACCCCGGCGCCTATTTCTCCCGCCGGGACATGTACAGCCACTACATGCTGCTCAAGTCCATCCGCAACGACATCGAGTGGGGCGTTGTGCAGCCGCCGGCGGGCGAGGAGGCGGCCCGCAAGAAGGACAAGCTGGGCGGGGGGCCCGCCGAGGAGGGCGAGGGGGAGGAGGACCTGGAGGAGCAGTTCCACTACCACCTCAGCGGACTCCACTCGGTGCTCTCCAAGCTCACCCGCAAGGCCAACGTCCTCACCAACAGATACAAGCAGGAGATCGGCTTCAGCAGCTGGGGGCAGTGAGCGCCGTGGGGGAAGGGGGCCCCCGGCCCGCCGGGAGCGGCGTTTCCCCGCCCGCCGCCGTGCAGGGCTGCGCCCCGGCTCCCTGCTCGCTCCCAGGACTGCAGCCGGGTTTTCTACCAACGCACAAGCGAGAGAGATGTAAATTAATCAACACTAGTTTATTAATTATTTTTCTTGCCCCTCCCCCCCTCTTCCTCTTTTTTTTTTTTTTTTTTTTTTGGGTCTTTTTATTTTTATTGTATGGTCTGGGGCGAGCGGTTGCAGTGCCTCCCCGGGCGGGGAGGCCGAATCCGTACGTGTACAAGGCGGTGGTGTAGCTGGTGGATAGGAGGCTCAGCGCAAGCCGATGAACATAACAAAACTGGCATAAAACTGCTTCTCTTACCCGGGAGGGAACCCTGTGGGCTAACGAGCATCCCTCCGTCGTGGGACAGATGGTGGGTCCCGAGGTTGTACATGTACTGGAGTTTATTTAAAACTTTTTTACTCAGATGTAGAGTATATTCTAAAATAAATGCAAATGTATTAACTAAAAGCAACAAACTTTTTGGTATGATTTATGTTTCTTTAATTAAATAATATTTTTAACATCTGGAATTCTGGTGTTCTCCTAAGTTATTTCCAGAGCTGCCTTACTAGGCACACAAACCTCTGCATGTGCTAAAGAGGGGGGTTTGTGGCTTTGTGGCTTTTTTTTTTTTTTTTTTTTTTCCCCCCCCCTCTCCAAAGGGAGCAATTAGGTAGTGATGATAACTCAGCGAATCCGAAGTGGATGAATGACCGTATTAACTGCACCATACATGGCCTGCATTTTGGTGAGCTGGTCCCAGCCCGACAGCCCGGTTGGTCTGTGTGAATGCTGGTGTGAAGGTCAGTGCCCCTGTAACCCCCTGTAACAAAATCTGAGAAGATCAAGCCATGGTTACTTTGCAGGCAGTGATTCATGGAGGTTGGAGCAAAGCCTAAGAATGACTCCTGCGTTTTTCGGGAAGTATCTTAATGTGCTGTAGGGAGCTCTTCGCTCTCCCTCCGAATAGCTCTGGGATACTTGTCTCCCCCATCTCTTCCATTACTTTATTTCCTCTGTAATCCTCCTTGGATACTAGGAATTTATTGCTTTATGTATTGATTTCTCTCTGCATTATTTGCATTTTTTTTTTTTAATTATCTGAAGTAATGTGCCTTGGAATTGGGTGCCTATATTGTGTTATAATATTAAAAGTGTACTTACTGCTTACAATGCAATGTGTGCGTATCACTGAGGATAACTGTTTAATAAATATGTGTGTCCTTCCATAACGTATGATGTTTTCTTCTCAGGCACTAAAATGCCAAGTTTGTAGACAACTTTTTATACTGAAATTTCACTTCGTATTGCCATCAAAGTTAGGGCTTGTTTGGTGGGTTTTTTTTATTTTAAAAATACCCGAGGATAACTTTTCTCTCAGCTTTAATGATATTTTTGCTTAAATTCAGATATCCTGTAACAATTAGGTTTTCAGCCCAACTTTTAGAACACTGTAGTAAAGCATGAGCGCTGCAGACATGGTACTAGTTGGCAGATGTTTGCATCGTTAAAACAGTCGGCCAACATCTATGTTTAAAAATACATATTTTAGGAAGTTTTCCCTTCTAGGGTAAAGAAGAACTTTGTAAGGCCGCATAGTTTTTAGCTTGGTGATGCTCGTTCTTTTCATATTGTTTTTAACTCCTCTTCCCCTCCCCCATTGGGAAGATGCCAGGAAAAAAGTCGGGAACAAGGAGAGGAATTCCTGGTTTCCTAACACGTCAGCTCGCCAGTCTTGCTGTAGTATTAACTAGTGTGATGCAAAAGATACGATGCCTCACACTGAACTTTTTGCCCTCCTGAAGGCGAGGGTGAGAGGGGAGAGCCTATTCTGCATGACTTCCCCCCGCCTTGCGCTCAGCCGGCTGAAAACCACATTACAGCCGCTGTTCGGCAGCGCTGGTAAAACCTCAGACAAAAGCAGCCAGCACAGTTTCAACAAGCGCTCCTTTTGAACTCCCGGTAACTTTTCCTGGTACGGATTTAGACAGTAGTGTTTAAATGTTGTGCAAGAGTCGATGTGGTGTTGATTTACGCTATGACTAACGTTAGAAAAATAGTATTACATGAGTGCAGTATCACCATGAATATTGCATCCACTCCCTTTGCATCCTAAAGCAAGATGAGAAAAATTTCAGTGAAGGAGCAGCTAAGAACTAGAGCTGTTTGGCAGCAAAGGTGGCAGTTACTTACAAGTAAAGCTTCGGGTAACAGAAGAGGCAGGATGATGCTGTGACTCAAGGGTTTGCCTTGCCTAAGTGACTAACCTGCTGTTGCTGAGCTGCACATGGCTCCCATGTGGGGGCCCGGCCACATGGCTGGCAGCAACCCCAGTAATCCCAGTTCAGCCGCAGCAAAAACTGCTGAGACTCACACGGGCAGAAGAGACACTGCCACCTCCCACCTAGGAGCTGCTTTAGAGTTCCCTTTTTGCAAGGTCATGGGAGAGGATCGAGGCTTTGGGGATCAAGAAAGCCATCTTGTGATGCTGGGGGGGGGGGGGGGTGGCGGGGGGCGGGGAACAACAGATAAAACCAAGGATGTGTTTCTGGTGCAAAGGACAAGGGATGGGACTTTGCTGTTGGCTGCTGTGGAAAACAACTTGGCCTAAAAGGTGGGGTGGTCAGGCAATTATGCAAATACTAGCTCCTGACATTGCAGTGAGCAAAGATGATATTGCAGAGTCTTAACGTGCATTTGGTATGTTAGATGCTGAATTGGGAAAAATTTCCATGAGCGGCACTATATAATACAGTTAGGTTTATTATTAGGAATTATGTTTTCTTTTGTAGGACTGGATTATTTCAAATGATCCTGACTGGGTGCTGAGTTGAATAAGCTTTTAGTCTGCTCTGGTAAAGTGATTCCGATACTTGTAAGTGATAATGACAAACGACATCAGTCTAACGTAAAAGTATCTTTATGATGTCAAATACTTTGCTAAGTGGGTTTATCTCCAAGCCACATGTGAACAAAAGGACAACTTGCCAAACTACCGTAACCCTGCACAAGCCAGTGCAATGTATACATGCACTGTGAGAAGCAGTTGTCGTTTTTAGCTTGTTTAAATGAAATAGACTCAATACACAGCAAGGCAGACATTAGAAGAGTAATAAATAATGAGATTCAGAACAGTTTGCACTTACAAATTGATTACAGCAGAAGGTATGCTACAGCCAAGGAGCCTCAAGGACATTGCTCATGGGATGCATCAGTTAATCCACAGAAGTGCCCAGTACGTGTCATTATAGTTTATGAGTCAACTCTTATTTTTGTGTATACAAAAGAACAGGGGGAGAGGGGGGAAGCGGAACCCAAGCTTTTGTCTCAAGGCATGTATATATGTGTATAAAAATAAGGGCGTTGGGGATGGGCACAAGTTCCATGGGACGAATAGCCTTCCAAAGGCTTCTCTGGTCGTTGGCTGCTGGATGGATGGCGGGTCTGTGCTGGATTATGTGTGCATTTCAGGAATCGTATCTGCCCCTGGCTCAGTAAGGATTCTCCATTCCTCTCCAGAAGTGGGCCATCATATCTCTTTCTGCCCAGGAGCAGATTAAAACTGTGAAATCAGTATCTTGATACCAGCTCGGACTAGACTCCCCAGCTGCAGTCCCTCGTGCTGGATGAGTTGCGTTTCTCCTCGGCAGCCTCCCCAGCGCACAAGCCCCTTGTGCTGCGGCAAAGGGCACGCTCTTCGGTGGAAGGGGGCAGGTGAGCCTGAGTCAAGCTAGGCTGTCACCTTCCTACTTTCCCTCTGAAAGCTTTTTCTTCCAGAAGGTTTTAAATAGATCAAGATATCTGCATTTTGTGGTTTGTTCCCTCCCCCCCAGGCTCTTGCACCAAGACACATGAGTCATCAGTAGATTGGCTTCGCTGAAAGATGCACTACCGTTAGTGGCCAGATGGAAGGTTATATTAGGATCTCATTATTATGGAGTTAAACTGTGCACCCTGTTCTACCAAAGGAAAAAAAAAAAAATAAAAGAAAACAAAAACAAAAAGGGATAGAAAGCATGTTCCTCTCTATGCCTATTCGTTTGGTACACTTCTTATCTCTTTGTGAAAAAGTCTGCAGTTGATTTTCTCCCACAGACTTACTTCCCTGAAGCACTGAGTATGGGAGGAGATTGTCTGGAAGTACTGCTTTTTATTATTTATATCTTTAAAAGTTATATCTTTTTATTATTTATATCTAGCTAACAGTGTGCTAGGTACTATATTTCAAAGAGCTCAAAGATTTTAGGTGATAATACAAACAGGGGAAACAGAAGAGCATGGTGGGTTATAACCTGCCATAAAATCTGAGGGAAGGGCAAGCAAGGTGTGCATTGCAAAATCAGTTCCACCTTTGCATGAGTTTTTCTGTTATTTGTTGTTGTCACCTCCAAACAAGCAGAAATACCTGAATGTATTAGTTCTAATGTTGCAAAACCATTTTCCTTCCAGACCACAGACTTGCATGACAAGTTTGGGTCAAAATTAGTTTTAAGCAATGAGGTTATAAACTCCTTTCCAAAAGGAAATTCGCAATCAGGAGTGCGATAATTGTGTATCTTTTTGTTGGTAGCCAACTGCCAGAACTGACGCTCTTTATAAAAGTAATATTCCTTCCCTGTTCAAACACACTCATACTTATTTGACCTGGAGTGACGGCATGAGGAAAACACCTTTCTGGTTTTTGTGCTTTTGAATTTTGTTCTGGAAGAGATGGCACAGAAAAAGCTTGGATTGCTTAGAGAGAAAACAGGTGTCTCTGTATTAAATCACAAACAGTAAATGAGCTTGCCTGGTGATGTTTGTAAGGTTTGTCACAGTATCAATTAAAGTGTTGTATCTTTTTATCACGTTTATCTACATACATCTGATCCTAACATTATTCTTCCTTTTTGTTCTGGCCTGTTATGGCTTACAAACAACAGGGTTGATGTCCCAGGGGCACAGACGCACCACTTAAGAGCAGCCGAGTCCTTTTAAGTGCATCTCTCTTTTCATCTGTGTTTGAACTGGGAAGATGGGCAGAGTGCTGCAAGTTGTGATTCAGAGTATAGCACAGCAGCGTGGCAACCCCCTTGCTGTGGGACTGCTGCTTGGTCATTGGCGTACGTGGTGGAATAGAGAGAGGGATGCAAGGTGAAGCTTCCTTCCACATCGTGCTGTGGTGGGGGGAGAGAGGGGCAATGGGGAGGTCTCTCGGCCTACAACTGACGTGGTTTTTCCCTGGGAGGAAAGAAAGGGAAATGATCGGGCATCCTTTCACCCCTCCTGAGAGGGAGGGCTGGTGCCTGAACAAAAAGTCTTTCCACCACACTCAGGGCAGAAGAGATTTATGTGAGGTCCAAGCTGACAGCTTTCGTGGTTTATCAAAACACCTGAGAGCTGACAGGTTAAAGACTTGCTGGGTCAGCACTCATCTGCCAGCAAGCAGATATTGCACGGATGGAGGCTGTTTCAATGAAGAGATTAGGTATATTAAATCGACCACACCCTTTCTGCTTTCTTTATGGGTCTGTAGGAAGCCCAATCAGTCAGCTGGTTTCAGTTATACCACACTCAAAGGAGATTTTACTGGAATCCAAGAGTGACTTTTTTTATATGAGAAGAAATAGTTTTAGTTCTAAAATATTTCAGTGTAATGTTCTGCTCCCCTCGTGTCTTTTGCAGATAGACAGTCTAAATGCAGATCAAGGAGGCACAAGGTCTCAATTCAACATACCTCAACAAAAGCATTTTTTTCAAATTTTAATATCTGTGAGTCTGAGATATTTTATTTCATCTTACTTGCATTTGAAATGGCTTCCCCAGACTTCTCATCACAAAGAGGGGAATGAGCATCCTCCCCTGGAAGTCTGGAACTGAAATCTGGTTTTCTTCAATTTTCAGGTGGGATAAGCAACCTACAGAACTTCCTGTGCTCTGGACCAAGTTAGTTCACATTTCATCCTTATTATCAGACCATCTCAAAATGGGAATGCATGTACTTCTCATGGCGTGTACTTTTTGAGCCTGACTGTATGCCACTAACTGAAGAGCTAGGCAGAGAAGCACTAGTAAGAGTACACTGGCATGTGCTTTTTTTCAGGGATAGTTACAAATTTGCCTGTTTAGAGCGCTGGAGCTAGAAGCTGACAAAGCCACCAACTCAATGTAGTTATTGAGCTTGCTAACCACAGAGAAGCTTGCTCCTGCAGCTCTGAACAGCCCACACGGGGAAAGTGCCACAGCCTTT